AGGGCTGCACCAGAAACAAAAATCCACATGTTATGATTCCCTTTATATGAAACTAGAGGCCCGGTGCATGAAATTCGTGCCCTCTCGCAGTCTGGAAGCCCTTGGGGGATGTCTGACTGACACGGGCCTAAGCCACAGTAGGACATCCTTAGTGCTGCCGCGGAGGCGGGAGAGGCTCCTGTCACTGCCGCTGCGCTCGCCAACTATGAGCCCGGCTCAGGGCTTGTGGCTGAGCAGCGCTCCCCCTGTGGGAGTGCACTGACCACCAAGGGGCAGCTTCTGCATTGAGCATCTGCCCCCTGGTGGTCAGTGTGCAACATAGCGACCAGTCGTTCCACCGTTTGGTCGATTTGCATATTAGCCTTTTATTATATAGGATGTCCAGAATTAGGCAAATCCATAGAGACAGTTAGTAAAATGGTGGTTTCTGGGGACTGGGATGTAGGAGAAAAGGGGAGTGACTGCTAATGGGTGTGGGGTTTCCTTTTGGGGAGATGAAAATGTTTGGAATCAGATAGTGGTGATGCTTTCAAAATTCTATGAATATACTAACCACTGAATTGTTCACTTTAAAAACTTTTCATGTGAATTATAGCTTAGCAAAAGGAGGGGGTAAATCTACCTTAATAATGGAGGTTCCTATTATTATCTAGTAGTCTACCTTCTCTTATCAGGAATAGAGGAAAGTAAGGAGATTAAGGTAATTCTGTCAACAGCTCTTGATAACGAGGCGGCTGGAATTAGATTTCATGTTGCCTATTCATGAAACATCTGGTGGCCAAAGAGTCTGGGAAAATAAAAGATTACAGACTGAAATTATGTCCACAGAAAGCGAAGGTCACCTGGAGGAAGGGAGCACCTGATAAGGCACTGGTTGTCCTCCAGGAGCACTGGCCAGCCTTCAGCTGTGTGCCTGCCCCAACATGCCACGCCCTGACCTGGAGCCAGGTGCACCTGAGCCCACCCACTGATTTCCCAAGGCAGTGAGTCATAAGAAAAGCTAGGAAGCCAAATGAGCTTTTCCAAATGTCATTTCCGCACCCTACAGCCACTAGGCCCGGTGCTGACCATTATGCACAACCTGTGGACACCTCTATGACGGTCCAATGAGAGGAAACAGCAGGAGCAAATGCTGAAAGGTGACAAAAGAAGGGCTAGACATAGTTTGGCAGGATCATCAACTCCTTCTAGAGGTCACAGCAGTCATCTCACGCCCTATTTAAAACCCACCCAAGGCTGCCAAAAAACATGCAAACTCCCTACAACAACTTGGAATAAAACCCACAGTTCCTGTACCAGCCGCGGGCCGGGCCGGTAGCACCTGCACCTCTCCAGTCCTCCCTCACTGCTCTTTCCTCTCACAGAGCTTACTGAGCGCCCGCTGCCCAGGGGCCTGGCACAGGCTGCTGCCTCTGCCTGCCTCTGCGCTTGGCTGGCCCCTTCTCATTCCTCAGGTCCTAACTCAAATAGGATCTCAGACAAATACTGGAGTCCTTCCTGTTATTCTCTGCCACGGCTCCCTGTTGATTTTCTTTGGGGAAAGAAAATCACTCTCTCACTACATTACTTTTTATCGTGGTTTATCCTGGTAGTCTGTTCGTTCACAGAGGGTGGAGAGCATATCCACCTTAGTGCCTGGCCTATCTAACGTGCTGCCAGTGTCTGGCTCGTGGCTGGCATTTAATTTTTGCTAAATAGATGAACTTGTATTTTTAACTATAAATCTGGCTAGGGAGCACAGGGGAAGTGACAAGAGGCAAGGAGAACAGTTAAAGTGAAAGTGATCACAGACCACACATAAAGTTAACACTGATTTAGATGCTATTAATACCACCATGTTCAAGGGCTTTCTTTCTGGCAATGATACAATCACATGGGCTAAGTAATGAACAGACTTGAGTAGACGAACGGAACACGGGTTGCCTGAATGCTTACTGACTGGAGGGGTGGGGGGCTGTATGTTTTATTTTGTGCACATAGTCCCAGGTCTCCTTGAACCTCCCTCACAAAGCAGAGGCCAGGTGGACTTCTGGGCTATTCCCAGGGTCAGCAGGCCATTCCCTCCACCCCCGCCCTATTCGCCCCATCTTCAAGAGTAACAAGCACAAGTTACCGCTGTCACTTTTAAACAGGGATTCTCAACACTGACTGCACATTAGAATCCTAAAAATTATAAAGGATTGAGGATTTTTAAAAATCCCCAAGCTGAGGCCACATCGCAGACCAAATTACATCAGAATCTCTGCGGGTGGAAACCAGGCATCAGTATTTTTTAAGGCTCCTCAGGTAATTCCAATGGGCAGTCGGGGCTGAGAACCACTGTTTTAGGGAAAAGCCCAAGTACCCAGAGGCCAGCCTTTACTCAATTCCTGCAGAGTCACAGAATCTTGTATTTATTTTGATGGTAAAGAGTTGGGTCTTCCAAAAGGAAGCATCCTACGAATAAACACTAATCCAGAAATATTCATTATTTCCTGAATTTTTGCTTACACCATTAAATTTCCTTTATTCGATTTTTAATACCTTTCCAACTCTTATTAAGATATACGGCAGCCCTGACCGGTTTGGCTCAGTGGATAGAGCATCGGCCTGAGGACTGAAAGGTCCCGGGTTCGATTCTGGCCAAGGGCATGTACCTTGGTTGCGGGCACATCCCCAGTAGGGGGTGTGCAGGAGGCAGCTGATCGATGTTTCTCTCTCATCGATGTTTCTGGCTCTCTATCCCTCTCTCTTCCTCTCTGTGAAAAATCAATAAAATATTTTTAAAAAAAAAGATATACGGCAAATGTCATTTTGCCTCAGAATATTGAAGTAGAAAAGAAAACAAAATGTATATACTTGGTGAATGATTCTAAAATATATAAAACCCACTTACCTGATCTACTCAGAAATATGACTGTCTCTACCATTTCACAGAATTCTTAGCAAAACACAAAAACTACTTTAAAAAATGGCCCTGGTTAGAATTAATCCCGTCCAGGTCAAAGAGAAGCAGCATATTCACATTCTGTCCGTGCCCTTCAGTCACACCCCCGTCCACACACCCACAGATCTACTTATCTGTCCCACCTACAGGAGACTTTTATCTTTCTAAAGCCCCAGCAATGATCTCATCAGACCAACAGAGAGGTTATGTTTCGCACAACATTATGTACCAAATGGCACTGATGTGGGGGGAAGGGTTGGATTTTTTTTCCATGCTATTCAGTATTTATGAAAATCCAGATGCTTTGCTAACTCAATATAATTCAAACAGTGAGGCAGTACTAAGCGGCCACACCCGATTTGTTCTAAATGTGGTAAAATCTAGAGCACAAACCTGAAAAATGCTTTAAAAGCTTTCTTTTTAAAAGAGCTCCTGCAAGTAGACTACACAAACGGAAGAAAAGTAAAGCGTGCACAACTGGATGATTTTGACTGTTATCGTAGACACAGTGATATGCAAGCCATTCTGAATCAGGGTTGTCTACAAACTTGCTATATACACCATATGCCAGCAGATACTGTTAATGGAAAATTGCTATTCTTGTACCTCTTTCATTGATCTGAAAGCCAAACTAGTTTTTCTGCTTTGCCTTCAGAATATTTTGGTATTCCCATAAAACCCGGGTGGTGCTCTAGCGGGTAACGCTGGAGAGGGTAAAGCTCTTCTCAAGCCGAAGACTGACGATCTCCAAATGCATAAGCAAGCAGTGTCCTATATGTAGCTAGACTTTCTGGAGTGCCACTACATCTGCCAGATTAACATAGTAACTATTACTTACGTAATTTCAATTTAATTGTTCAAATCAAAACTTCTAAGACATGTTTCCTCCCTTCCAATGATAAGACACAAAAGGTGTAATAATGTGTTATCTGTGCCTTAGCCTCCTAGCTTCCTTTATTTTTGTCCCTGTGGTTGAGGAAAGTTGTAAAAACCCATTCAATGAAAGTAAAACCCACCAGCTTTCTTGGGAAGAGCTGCAGAGTAAAACAAAATTCATTTTTGTGATGAATAGTTACTAGTGGAATGCATGGAAGAATGAAACTGTACAATATTTCAAAATAAACACTGTAAAGTAAAAACAACCTCAACAAATAATAAATTCAGCTCCTCATCTGGTAAGATTCATTTGTAATTTAGTTTAATTGCATAAATTATTTATATAACCAAGGAGCTATATTCAGGATACATTTCATAAGGTTTGTTTTTATACCAGTATTAGGGTGTTTCCCAGTTGCCCAAAATAAGTGGCAAGCCTTTTTATTTATTTTTTATTTTTTTTAAGTTAAATATATTGGGGTAACACTGTTTCATAACATTATGTAAGTTTCAGGTGTACAATTCTAGGGTACATTATCTGTATACTACATTGTGTGCTCACCACCAAAGTCTAGTCTCCTTCCCTCACCATATATCTGACCCCCCTTTATCTTCATCTTCCTCCTCGCCCCTTCCCCTGTGGTAACCACCATACTGTTGTCCATGTCTGTGAGTGTGTTTGTGCTTTCTATTTCATATCCCACATATGAGTAAAACCATGTGGTTCTTCTGGCAAGCCCTTTTAAAATCAGGAGAAAACTCTCCCAGTATCTGAATTAACATTAATTCAGACTTAAGGAAGTCCTAACTGATGGGGCTTTATTGTCTATGCACATGAATATAAGGTGAAACACACATTAAAATGATTATCAGGGAGGAGGAACCAGCTCTCTGCACAGGTTGAGAGCTCCCACCAGCAAAGGCAAGAGGACTCTGTTGTAACACTTTGCGTGTGTGCACCCATCACAAGGCACACATCCCGCCAGTATAATCTGATGAAGTAAACATTGCGGCTCGTCATCAAGAGATCAAGCATCAAGTTAAGGCTCTGAAATGTGTAACCCTGAGCAGTCAGTGACTACCCTGTGGTGCTATGGCTGCTCTCAGGGAAACTGGGGATCCAGTAACTAGGGCAGCCCTGGAGGGGGTAAGGGGACCGAAGGGGAGGAAGGATGGGTGGGGGGGAGGGGTCACTTACGAGACGTAGGCTGGGTAGCCGAATCCTATCAGGTTGCAGAGGAGAGAGGCTCCATAGCCGAACATCAGGTACAAGGCCAACAGCCCGATGACACCTGGATTCGCAAGGAGAGAAGTGGGTTGAGTGGCAGAGAGGTACTCAAGCCCCAC